GTAGATGACAGCAGTCTGACTTGTGCTGAAGTCTGAAGTGTACAGTGTGAACAGGAATGGTGAGAGTACAGTTCCCTGTGGTGCTCCTGTGCTGCTGACCACATGGTTAGACACACAGTCCTTCAGTCTCACAAACTGTGGTCTGTTTGTCAGGTAGTCTTTGTTTACATGTTCGTAGTTTCTTTCATACATTTTTTTAGACTACAACAAACTTTCAGCTAGTTCAGATCTGCAGCTGTCAAAACATTCAGCTCATTCAGGACTTTACAGCTATCCCACGGTGTGGGCCAGATCTACACTGCTGGAACACAGGCATGGCAAGTGGTTTGTTGACCAGATGTGGGCCAGGTCTGGCAATGATGGCCCAACTATGATTTGATTTATGCGGCTCAAATCTGCCAATGCCACAACTGGCCTACTTGTAGTTTGGCTTATGTGGTGCTGACCCATGAGTGGACCGCTTCTGGCAAACCATATCTGAGCCACCAAAGGGCCATCATTCTTTGAGGTATATATACTGTATATATATTGCCATAGTTTTCAATTTGTCATTTTTACAAACACATCATACATTTTCTGTTATAGATATTAGTTTTGGTGTGCCACCCCTGGTTTTTCAGTGGACACCCCATGGCCCCCCCTGAAAAGATTTTCTGCAGGTGCCACTGGCCTGCTGATGATGAGACATGCTATGATGTACGGTTAGAGACAGTGACACTGTCTAAAAGACAGGAGGCTGAGCTGGAGGTGGCACAGATGAAGATGCTGAGATTTTCGTTTGGAGTCACGAGGATGGACAAGATTAGAAATGAGCAGATCAGAGGGACAGTGAAAGGTGGAGCAGTTTAGAGATAAAGCTAGAGAGGCCAGGGTGAGATGGTTTGGACATGTGTTGAGGAGGGATAGTGGATATATTGGACAAAGGATGTTGGAGATATAGCTGCCAGGCAGAAGGAGAAGAGGAAGACTGCAGAGAAGATTCATGGATGTAGTGAAAAAGGACATGGAGATGGTTGGTGTAACAGTAGAGGAGGCAGGGGATAGGATGAGATGGAGGCAGATGATCCACTGTGGCAACCCCTAAAGCAGTGGTTCTTAACCTTTTTGACCTCGGGGCCCAATTTGTTTAACATAAAGTGGCATGAGGCCCAGTAACACATTACCAATGTATGGATCAAAATGATAATAAGGTCTTGGTTTAATTTTTATTGTATTTACATCATCATTTTACAACTAAACTATCGTAACTAACATAACTAAATTAAATACACTTAGAGTTTAAAAGTAAAACTCCTGTYAAATAATCACAAGACATGATTATGACAAACATTTTTATATTGTAACCTACTCATAACAATTATTTGAACAAATACAAAGGTCAGTCAACAGACCACTCAGGCTTATCAGCACACAAATATATATATATATA